TGGCATAGAAGGCAGCTGCGAGCCCAGTATGTGACATCGCGTCGTATGCCTGGCCACACAAAGCGCTCTGCGGCGGCGCGGACTGTGGCGCGAACTCCAGGATGGCTGAGACCGTGCACGGCGTTGAAGGCGGCAGTGCGGAGCGAGCGTGGCAGGAACGGTCGGACCCGTCCTTCGTGAACATTACATAGCAGCTCCACTTCGTTGAGGTGCAGGCGTTGGAGGTTCAAAGAACTGTTGTGAGCGATGCCCGGCAGCTCGTCGTCGCAAGCTTGCGCCTTGGCTATGATCTCTGGGCTGAGTGCAGTCGGCATGTCGACCGTGGCGCAGGCGGCGTCTTGTACGCCTGAGGGCGAGGGAGAGGTGCACGGCTCGGTAGGAGCATCGAGCGGCGTGGCGTCCTCGAGCGTTCGGGACAAGGCGTCGGCCACGACGTTGTCCGAGCCGTTGACGTGCTGAAGCTGGATGTCGAACTGCAACAGGAAGTCCAGCTGTCATTGTTGACGCGGGGACGCCTTTGCAGACGGTTGACTGACAGCGAAGGTCAGCGGGCGATGATCCGTCAGCACGATGAAGGAACGACCTTCCAAGATGCGCCGAAAATGCTGCACGGCTCGGAAGATGGCAAGGAGCTCTCGGTCGTAGGTGCTGTATCGGGTCTCAGCAGGCGTCAGCTTCTGTGAGAAGAAACCAATAGGTTGCCACTCTCCGTGGGGGCACTGTTCAAGGACAGCACCGACGGCGGAGTTCGATGCGTCCGTGGCGAGACGAAGAGGCGCAGTCGGTGACAAGAAAGTAGTCTCGACAGCCTTCGTCAGACTGCGTCGGGCGTCTTCAAATGCCTGGTCAGCTCCTGGACTCCAGGCCAGGGATCGTCGGCTTCCCTTGGGTAAACCCCGCAGGAGCTCGTTGAGCGGCGCTTGAATGTGCGCAGCGTGAGGCAGACTTCGTCGGTAGAAGTTGATGATGCCCAAGAACCGGCGCAAGGCTCTGGGCGACATGGGCTTGGCGTAGTCCCGAATTGCCTCAATCTTCCTTTCTGGCGGCTTGATACCGCCGGCAGAGACTTCGTATCCGAGGACCGTGACGCGTGGAAGTCCCAACTGGCATTTTTCCAGCTTGTAGGAAAGTCCGGCTTTCCGTAGTCGGTCGAAAAGGAGACGTAAGTGCCGCTGGTGCTCCTCGTGAGAAGAAGATCGTATGAACAGGTCATCGAGGTAGCTTCGCACGAACGGCAGGTCCCTCAGCAGCGAGTCCATAAACCGCTGGAAGGTTTGTGATGCATTCCTCAAGCCGGGAGGCATGCGCAGAAACTCGTACAGGCCGAACGGAGTCGTGATTGCAGTTTTTGCAATGTCCTCATCAGCCATTGGTACCTGAAAATAAGCTTCTTGCAGGTCGACGACTGAGAAGATGGAGCATCCGTCGCATTCCTCCAGAAGGTCCTCAATGACCGGCAGTGGGTACCGGTCCGGCAGTGTGACGGCATTGAGGCGTCGAAAGTCGCCCGTGACTCGAAAGCCCCCAGTGGCCTTCGCCACGAGGTGCAAGGGGCTTGCCCAAGGACTCGAGGACGGCCGGATGACACGTTGTCGCAGAAGGCGCTCGATGGTGTCCTTGGCAGCAGTCAGGCGTTCGCCCGCCAGCCGGCGTGGGCGTTCAAAGACTGGGGGTCCGGTTGTGACGATGCGGTGCACTACAGTAGTGCCTTGAAGAGAGGCGCCCTTCTCCGAGGGCTTGGCGAGATCGGCGTATTCGACGATCAGGCCATCGTAGGCGGCTCGGTGCGGTAAGTCCGTAGTATCGGCAATGGCGGCTACTCCGTGAATGATGGCCTTCCGCAACTGTGCAGTGGACTCCTGGGCGGTGTTCGGGTCGAACAAGCACCGACGGCGCACATCCACCAGCAGTCCGGAGTGGCTAAGAAAATCCGCACCCAGGATAGGCACTGGCACGTCCGTGATTGTGAATGGCCACCGGAATTCACGCTGAAGGCCCAGCGTGATGGTGAGCAGTCGCCTACCATAGGTGGCGATTGGAGTCCCGTTCGCCGAGATGAGCTGCAAGCTGCCGCGTGTCAAGGGGCCAACGGTAAGGTGCCGTGGCAGTAAGGTCATAACTGACCCGGAGTCGACAAGCATGGCACAGCCGAGCGAGCTCTCGTGGACGTGCAGGCGAACGTCGGAAGGCGGTAGAGATGCGCTACCGTATACCGCCAAAACGTGCGGCAGCGCCTCTAGTTTGTCGACTGGTTGGCTGGGTAGCTGCATGGCGGTCGGCAGCGCTCAGCATTTGCCTGGTACCGCCGATGGTAATAGCACCACGACGAGTTGGCCGACGATGTTGCAGCTCCTCCGGTAGCTCTCGCGCCAGTCGAGCGGGCACGAGTGCGGGATCTCGCTCGTCCACCAGAGGCCGGGAGGCGGTCCAGGATGCGACCAGTCGTGATGACAAGCTGTGACACAGTGGCTCGCAAAGCCGCTAATTCGGCCGTTATGCTGTCGGGCGTAGACCGTACCGCCTCTGGCGCTGGAGGCGCCGGCGGCGTTGGAGTGAGCCGTTGGATGGCACATATGTCCAGACTCGTCTCGGCTAGCTCATCACCGGTCAAGGCCAGGTCGTCCAGCGTCGTGTTGCGCATAATCCGAAGCATTCGGGAAAGGGTAGTCGGCATCAGGTCCAGCCAACGCACGCGGATGGCATCATCGTTGATGGTCCCTCCAGCAAGGGTGCGCATGCGCCGGAGTAGCTGCGACGGCGTTCGATCCCCCATGGTAAGCCCGGAGAAGAGCTTGTGCAAGCGCTGGGTTGCTGTGTCGCCGTAACGCCGAATGATCTGCTCCTTTAAATTATCGTACGCACTTGTGCTCGACGGGTTTTGGAGCACATCAAGTGAGTCCTGTATCGTCTCGCTGTCGAGCCCGGCGACGGCGGCATGGTAACGCTGAAGGTCAGAGCGGATGTTGTGGCATTGGAACACCGACTCCAGTTGGGTAAACCACGCCTCGGGATTGCCCTTCAAGAACGGCGGAGTGCGTACCGCCACGTGGCGAACGAGCTCAACACCGGCCAGGGCAGGCGGGTTCGGTTTTTCGCTCATATTGCCAGGCTCTGCGGTCGCACCGCTGGAGAGGTTGAGCGGGGGAGAGTCCGGCATGGGTGGGCTCTCCTCTAGGCGCAATTGGCGCACGTCACGTGACGCGGACCTTAAATCACCGAGAGATCCCCGTCTCCCGGAGACCGGCGTTCTCTCCGTTTTTAGCGGCTTCGCACTCACAGGGAAGGCACAACTTCTCAGGTCGCGCACTCACGAGAGTACTTACGTGTCCCTGAACGAAAACGATTGTCTCTTCGGTTTTTTTTGTAGTCTTGCCGAAATCACGTCGGGGTCACCAATTTAGTAGTCCGGTAGAACGGCTGAAATGTGGACTCGGGAAGATGAAAAGAATTTGAACTGCCAATTTACAAAGTTTATTTTCTCATTCTAAATTTGAGATTTCAACAAGACGGAAGGGAACTACAAAAATTGATCGAAAAGCGAAACTACGAACTTGCCGCGTGGCAATCGTAATAAATCAATTTTTATCGCGACGCGAGAGACTTGATTGCTCGGCGTCCAGGAAGAGAAGAAGGAGCAATTGCTCCGATCGGTAATGAGCTTGGTTTCCCCTCCAGCGCCTGAGTGCCCCCCGCAACTACTTCCCCGCTGCTTGGCTGTCAGCGCTGCGGGCGGCGCAGGCGACCAAGTGGTGTGAGTAGCGGCCTCGTGCGAGACACCACACATGTGTAAGACTGCTGTACGAATATGTTATTTTTCTTGATAAATAGGAGGGGTACAAAAAGTAAATTTAAATAATTTTTATAGTATAAATAGACATAAAGCTATTTACTTTAATTTTCTTAAGAAAATTCACCATTTTTCTGTCAGGATCATAAATTTTATTAATTTTTTGCATTTTACTGTGTTTCTAAGAAAAACGCTGTATAATTCAAATTCTACAGGGGTACAAATTATATTTTTGGTTTTCGTAGATGGTACAAATTAAGAAGAAGACATTCATAATCTTTTACATTAAAATTTCACAATTTTTCCGCCGAGAAAAGAGATTTTCCACAGTGCGGAAGACCCGGAATTAAAATCGTCGAACTAGACTACGAATTAATTTTTTTCTGAATATTTGCGAGGGGTTCAAATTCCAAAATAACTATTTTTCGACTGGTACTGATTAAGGCAAAGTTGGTGGTGTATTTTTTTTTAGGAAATAAATATTTTTCCTATCAGAGTTATCTACTTTTTCATCCGAGTAATCAGCTGATTTTGCGGATGTAGGAGTTTAAGAACACACGTTAACTTAGGATTTTTTATATTAACATGTCTAATCAAATTTTAGAGTTTAAAAATTACAATAAAACTATTTTCAGTTGGTAAAATTTAAAGTAGAGCTAGAAATATATTTTTTTCTTAAGAAATGAGAGATTTTCCTGTAAAATTTATTAGTATTACAGTCGCACAAAAAACATTGTATTATTCCAATTCTTCAAGGATACAAATTAGTTTTATGTATTTTTTAGATGGTACAAATTAAGAAGAAGGCATTCATATATTTTTTTTTTTTAAATCGTATATTTTTCTGCTGGAAGATAGATTTTCCGCCGCGCATGCGCAGTAATACGTTAATTTGAATTGCTAATCTACCCTACGAAAATCTTTTTTTTCTCTATTTTCAGAGAGGGTACAAATTCTAGAAAAGCATTTTTCTGATGGTACAAATTAAAATGAAACTAGTGGTATTTTTTTCTTTTATAATATCAATCATTTTTCTGCCAGGAGTATGAGTTTTCCGCAATATCGTTTTTTTCGCTTTTTTTTTAAATTTTGGGGGGGTACAAATTCCAAAAAATGAATTTTCGGGTGGTACAAATTAAGACAAAGCTAATGGTATATATTTTTTTTTTTTAAATCAATCACTTTTCTGCCATGGTCGTTTCGATAGCGGTAACGCTACCGGGCGGCTATGAACTTCAATCTCAATTGAATTTTGATAAGGTTTTTCCAGTGAAACCAATTGTTTTTCATCATTGTCAATACAAATTTACAAAAATATACAAAAAAACATGGAAGATGTCTCAGTGTCAAAGGTATTTTTTATATATTTATATGTTGGTATGTAACCTTAACACAATATTTGATTTTGCAAATTGATTGTATAATTTCATTTGGATTTGCTTAAAATAAATTCTTGAAATCTGTCATAATTTTAAATGTTTCATGAACTAATAACTATTATAATAACTATTATAAACAGTTTTTAACTTTGGTATTTGTCTCTAACTAAATAGCAATTAGTTATCTTTACTTGTAAAAGTTCCATCCAAATTTTTAATAACCCTTATGTTGATTTATCAGGGAGTATTTGTTCATGCCAAACGCAAAATTGGCCAAAGGAAAGCAAAATCAAAGATGGCACATAAAGATGAAGCATGGTACAAAACGTTTAAAGAAACTTGGACAGCTATTGAGAAAGCTGCACATGTAAGTAAACTAAAGATGATTTATCTTTAAAATATTGTAAATTAAATATCCACTATTGTGTTCTACTCTTTATTTTAAAACTTGTATGTTGCAGGAAATGAATAGCGATACATTTAGACAAATTTTATCTGACATGGAAAGTTTTATAACAAGAATTAAGAATTTGCCTCTATTAGCAGATGAGATATCAACAGGAATTCTCTTAGCTGGTTTATATATACAATTATTAAATGTTTTTAAACGTATCATCACTTAATAGCAAAAATTGAGAACTAATTTTATTATCAATAGGTGTCAACCTTCCAGATCATAATTTACTCTTGCAAATTCTAGTCTCTAGATTGAAACCTGTGACTCCTTATATTGCAATAATTTGGTCAAGAGATTCTAATACTTTAAAAAATTTAATGGAAGAAATGATATATCAAATAGTCAATTCATTAAAAGTAATAATATCAATATTACTACAATAAACATTGTAGATTTTAAGCAAGCTTCATACTAACTAATTTCATACATTAGTTTGTATTAGTAACCTAGCATCTTATAGATTTTTTCACAATGTTATAGGATGACTATTCAGATGAGTTGCCAGAAGTGAAAAGAAATAATTGCAATTTTTGTACATTACAAGCTTGGCACAAAGAGAATAATAGTGGATATAATCCAATAGTCATTATTATTCCAGATTTTGAAAGTTTCTTACCTAAAATTTTGCATGATTTTATATTGATTCTAAGGTATTTATATTTATATTTTTATTAAAATGAAATCATAAATCTATTTTTAATTTATATATATTTTGTTCTAGTTCATATGTAAAAAAAATAAAATTTGTACTGATTTTTGGTGTAGCTACAACATTGCACATTGTTCATCGTTCTCTTTCGTATGATGCTACATCTAAGCTAAAGATACAAGTATTTCAATAAAAACATTTAGTAATATATCAAGTTTGAAATCATGTTTAATGTTATTCATAATTTTAGGTATTTCATACTCAAAAGCAAATCCAGAGTTTGGCTAATTTATTAGATAATATAGTTCTATCTCCAGAAGCTCCATTTAAATTAACAGGTCGAGCATTCAAGTTTCTTGTAGACATTTTTTTATTTTATGACTTCTCAGTAAATGGATTTTTACAGAGCTTTAAAGTAAGTTAGTTGTTAAGTGAACATTTAATTGTTAAATTAAAATAGTATTGTTTCAATAGCTTTGTATGTGGAGACACTTTTACAATAAAAATGAAAAGAAGCTTTGTTGTCCTAAGGAAAAAGTAGAGAGTCGTATAAAAGAACTAACAAGAGAAGATCTAAGGCATATAAGGAATTTGCCATCCATTCAAAAGTATCTTCCTTCAATTCACAAAAATTCTATTGCTGATCATGAATTTAAAGTATATTTTTCATGTGCTTATATTAATACTTTATACAACTTTCATATTTAAAAAATAAATTGTCAATGTTTCAGACTATTTTAATAGATTTAGCAGACAAATTTTATGAATACAATAACAATTTTTTTATAGTATTAAAGTGCTTGCATAAATTAACAATCAATATGGTGCATTACCCTTTTGGAAAACTTGTGAGTTTATCTCCGAAATTTTATAACAAAAGTAACTGGTTTTTTCTTTTGATAAATAATTGTTTTTATCAAATTTGTTTCTAGTTCAGAGAAATTTATGCTGAAGCAGTTGGTCATACTAATATTTTTGACACTCAGAAATATAAAGATGCTATTAAGTCGATACATTTTTTTTCTAAAGATGATCTTATAAATAATATAAAGTCTATGTTGTCAGAATTAAATAATCATGAAAGACAACTTGATGATGTCGTCAAAAAATTAGAATATTACATGGATGTAATAAAAGAGGCAAAGTTAGATGTAGTATTTGTTGAAGAAGAAAAAGATGAAGTTGTAAGCGGTAAAATTATGAGCCGTTCAGAATGGCAGAAGGTTAATAGTTTATTCATGTAAATAAATGTATTATATTTAAAGCATCTTCAGAACTAACATTTATTTTTCAGGCATTGAAATTGAAATCAGAAAAGACTTACACCTCACCTTATAAAGAAGCTCAAACAAAATTTATTGAATATTTGGATAAAGAGGTATTTACAAAATACTTGAAAAATCCTTTATATGTACCATTGAATGAAATATTTTGTTACAATGATATAAGTAACGTCAAGGAATTTATAAGAGGTTCAATGAAAGCAAATATAGACATCAGTTTAAATGATCCAGGCTACATATTTAGGGTAAAACTACTAATCTTAAGATAAGATAAATTTATATGATTTTCCAGTAAATTTAAGAAAAATTCTTTCCCAGTGTGATTGCTGTAGTTCATCAGATTGCATTAGAACAAATCCAGATATTTGTATAGTTTATAAATTACATTTGGAATGTGGAAAAATGATCAACTTGTACGACTGGTTGCAGGTAATTAAATGTTTAATTCTCAGCTGTAAAGAAAATCCGCTATTGCTCAAGTGGTAAACTGTAATTTCTAATCTGATTGCAGTCTTATCTAACAATCGTTGATCCAGATCACTACGAGGACGATGTTGATCCTGTATTGCAGTATCCTTTGAATTCTCATAAAATAACAATGGTACATGATTCGGTTTCAATAAAATCTTTAACTAAAATGTTATATAGAGCTCGCTTCACACGTGCTGTTGCTGAACTTCAATTTTTAGGATTCATCAAAGCTACACGAAAGAAAACCGATCACGTCAAACGATTAACGTAACTGCGCGCTTGTCTAATTGCGTCATTGATTAATAATTATATATGTACATTATATGTACGTATATACCTCGATATCGGCGATAGTCGTTATCACTGTAATGTATATAGGTATTATAAGTTGGTTCGACAGCTTGCTTGGAAATCGTTTAAATGATCACAGCCTGTTTTGATCTGAAAAACAGGTCAATTATCAAATAAATTTGGTGAAAAACATCCTACGTATTCGCTTTACTTTAGTTTATCCAAAAATGTTGCTAGTAAAAAGATACGTTGATATTAGTCAACAGGATAATTTGTAGTTACTCGCAGCTACTCTCTCTTGTGAATAGTCGAGTGGTGTATTTTTATTTAAATGACTTTTCGAGGCTTATCAGCTATTCAATCATCGATGGTCAATCAATCAATGGTATCTATCGCGGCGCACCAGACGCGACACTGCTGCGTCTGTTTACAGCATTGATTGAAATCTAATACAGAGTCGAAAGAATAATGAAGCCGAACGGAATTGGGCATGCATTTAAGATAACTCTAGAATGGGCGCGCAGCATCTCGCAAGCCCGGAATTTTCTGTCCAGCTGTTTCTCATTCGCCGCTTCTGTTTCTTGGTCCGGCACGGCGGGGAGACTGACTCGCAGGTATGGGATACACCAGCGCGCGCGTTTCTCTTTCTCTCTCTCTCTCTCGGCCTGGCTGGCATAGTGGGCATACGTCAAGCTGTGCTCGTAACTAAAGTTCATCCCTCCCCACCCCAGGGTTCTCCGAATCTAGCCCGATGCTTCGGCTTTGGCTTCGGCGGACCCAAAGGTCAGAAGCAGCGACTGCCAGTCCCCCTCAGTGCCGTTCGGACAGCCTCGTAGGAGGCTTATTTCTCATGATAGCTGTTCTTACTTTTACACGTGGTCTTATTTACGCGCACTATCTGCTGGCTTATTATTATTTATCGAGTGCTATTCATTCTCTCCAATGAACATTCGGTGTAGACGATCCGTTGTGTCATGTAGTTACCTTTTTCATGTTTTTTGGAAGGTACAGCGCAACCTCAACGCTTGTGTAGACGTCCGAAAGTTGTACACATAGACAAATTGTAATCACCGCGTAAGTATAAACATTTGGGTATAAAATCGACCTCTATGTACTATTTCATTGCTAAATGCTAGGAAAAACAAATAGAGTGCAAGATTCCAAGTCGAGCGTCTGTTCGGAAAATGCGGGACAAGGGGAAGCCGACGAGTTGTCGGATGTTTGGCTGCCAATGCTGATGGACATTCGCTACAGCAGGAACCTCATGCCGCAGGCGTAGGGTAATAAAATTCAACCGTTGCGCGCGCGCGCGCGCGCTTCAGTTGCTCTTTAGCAGAGCATTGTCGCTTTGGCTCGGGCGCGTACCTACGGAAGCCAAGCCCAAGCTACCCTCCTACGAGCATACGTTGGACTTGTGATCGCCGAACAGTAGCCGGCCGCTAGAGAGTTTGGTCGTCATTCGCTGTATCGGCAGGTCGTTGCCGAGCCGGCGACCGGTCAGTCGTCGCACCTCACTGCAAGCAGATTTATTCGCAGGGAAATGGAAGACAGACGCCTCGTCGGTTCGCCCGAGGCGGCTACCCACGACTCGATGAGCGAGAGTGCCGGCATCGAAACCGTCGCAGCCTACAGAATGACTGCGCCCATCAACTTCAATGGTGCGTACCCCCGTGGCTTCGCACAGCTGGCGCTTCAGTGGCGAGCCGCTGATCGTAATTCGACGCGCACAGGTCACGAGTCGGCAGTGTCGCCCTTGCTACCGCCAGCTCACCAGCAGGAGCAGCAGCAGCAGGCGGGCCAGGGCACGGTCGAGTGCAAGGCCGCGGCTGAGCCGGCGACGCAGATGCAAGTCGTACGCAAGAGCAAGAGCATAAACGAGCTGCTGGTACCGTTGATGGGCGTGCGAACAATGAGCCTGGATCTGGCGCACGAGCGCAAGCAGAAGCTGCGCAGCCATCAGCTGATGCCGCTAATGTTCGAGGTGCTGTGCGAGATCAAGGAGCGCGCGAGGCTGTCGCAGGGGAACGTCCAGCAGGACGAGGCGCGCGACGAGCCGAACACGCAGCTCCTGCGGCTGGACAACATGCTTACAGCCGAGGGTATTTCGGAGGCGGACAAGTCCAGCACGGTGAAGCCGGTTACCACCGGCGGCCCCGTGGACAACGCGATCGAGCACCAAGACTACCGCCATAAGCTCGCTATCATCCGGCAGTTCCATTGCCAGGAGATGGACAAATACCACCGAGACTGCAACATGTTCACCGGCCATGTGATCACACTGCTTCGCGAACAAAGCGCCGCCCGTCCCATCTCGAACAAGGAGGTCGACCAGACGGTGCAGGTCATCACGCGCAAGCTCAACAGCATCCAGATCCAGCTCAAGCAGCAGACCTGCGAGATGGTCATGAGCTTGCGCAGTCGTTTCCTGGACGCGCGTCGCAAGCGCCGCAACTTCAGCAAGCAGGCCTCCGAGATCCTTAACTCTTATTTCTATTCGCACCTCAGCAATCCCTATCCCAGCGAGGAGGCAAAGGAGGAGCTCGCGCGCCAGTGCGAAATCACCATCGCACAGGTAGGCCTCGCTCTACTGGTATACGTTGCCCGTTCCCCCGTTTAACTTGCCTGCCGCCTCGACAGGTATCCAACTGGTTCGGTAATAAGCGCATCCGATACAAGAAGAACATCGGCAAGGCGCAGGAGGAAGCGAATCTGTACGCGGCTAAGAAGGCCGCGGCCACCATTGCCGCCGCTGGCTCGTCGCCTTCGCCGATGGCCTACCACGCGGCCGTCGCTACCACCACCGGTACGCCGCCTTCGCCGATGGCCTACCACGCGGCCGTCGCTACCCCGACCGCTACGCCGCCTTCGCCGATGGGCTACCACGCCGTCGTCGCTACCACCACCGCTACGCCGCCTTCGCCGATGGCCTACCACGCGGCTGTCGCTACCCCCACCGCTACGCCGCCCATCGTGTCAACCACCCCGTCCTCCGTCGGGTCTCAATCTCAAAAGGACGTAGCACCACCTCAGCAACTCGGACAAACTTATCCCGGCTACCAGGTCTATGTTGACCAGTATAATTACCCTAGCTCTCAGTAGCGGACGCGCCGAGCTTCAACTTTTTGTTCCTACGGACGACAATGTTTAGCGCACACGTAAGATCAGACGCAGCCATGCAGTCGACCCTTGCACTTTTATCAAGCCAATATTCGTTATAATAATCTGACAGTTTGACGCAATTGCCGTTTTAACTAACCGCTAGAATTAAACTAGTTTGCAAATAATCGCGCGATTAGTACAAGAAAGTGTACAAAGCTTATGCCAAACTTGTGCATAATTTAAACGAAATTTCTGCGTATTCATCGACTTTTTCTTATACAATTTAAATATTTGTTTTATTGTTGTCATTATTTGTTTCAAAAAAGCTCTTCATTAACATTCCTACGCAATAATTCACTGTTCATATGAAGTTCTTCGCTATTGAATCATTCCAGTTGCACTTGTAACTATTTAGATTTTTAAAATGCGCAACCTAATTATTTTACTGATCTATCAACAATCAACATGTATAACTTTCTGCATTTGCATCATTAATTAGTATATATACTAATATTTGATGTTTTCTCATATACTGACTGTAATTTCAGCTGATAGCGAGTTATTAGCATTAACGCTATTTGTTCATATCTTAATTAATTAAATCAAATAAATTAATGAAGGTAATGAAATCGATTAGATTGGTAAATCCATGCATAGATAGTTGGTAGGCGGAAAAGTACTACACTGATTTAGTATAGTTGCTGATATTCGTTGATAACACGTGAGCTGCCGAAACTAATCAGTAAATATAAGAGAACAAAATATTAATACATACTAATAATCGGAATGCAAGAAATTACACGCGAAGATTGTCAATAGTCAGTAAAATAATTATAATTAGTATTTAGATAAATTAATATTACAAGTATCAATTTTAATAAAGTAGTTTTTCAAAAACAAATAATGAAATATTTTAACTTTATTATAAAAGATCGATGAGAACGTCTAATTTTGTATGAAATTTGTACCTTTGTTTAAAGTGAGATACAATTACCTTCGATTCTATGGTTCGTTGTTAATGTTTTTATGTTATAGCAAAGTTATTTTTAGGCAATAATAATAACTATTTTTGGTATTTTTATTATTGCACTTTTATTACTTTTAATAATATTTGTTAAAAGTTATTACTTATAGTGTGAATTATACTATACTATTCTATTCTAACAAAATACATTTAACTATGTATTTTTACTAATTGACGCTATTAGAATATTTTGAATAGTTATTTAAATATGATAATGATATTCCAATTATCAAGTGAATTTGATATTGTTCATGCCATATTATAAATTTTTATATAAATTGTTCCACAGTGCACCCACTAAAGCAAGATATAAATAGTTCAATTTGTAAATACGTAAAAACTGTATAGATTTTCTAATACTTCAGAATTTATCAACAAAAATTCAAGTAGAATCGAACTTTTGATAGATACAATACGACATGAATATAAATACAAGTAAATGGTAGATGCCGTCAAAAATTAATTCAATTTCTTTATCAAAATTCTGTAATTATACAATGTAATTTACATAATATTAATGTTACTAATTACGTTATAGGTGTAGATATTTATAACTCTAATTAATAGTTATTTGATTGTGTAATTATTACATCTTATGATAATGGTACTTAATGATAAAATTCAAATTATTGAATCAAATGATTTTGGATACGGGTCAAAAATTGTGTCTTCAATATGAAATGGTACATGTTGCAACGATTGATTTATTTATATGAAATTTTATTTTTATTTTTTGTAAAATGAGTACCATAAACGTACACATGTTAACGATGCGTTCAATCTCGTTTCACTGACCGTAAATAGTTAGGGCATTAGTTTATATGTAGAGTAATTTTTTTCAAGTTGGAATTATTTTACCAGATGTGTGATATTTACGTATGAGTGAGTCAAAATAGTGGTTCAATTTTTGGCACATTACTTCAGAAGCCAAGATTAAAATGTTTTTAAAGTTTTAAAATTTCCATTTTTATTTTAAAAAGTAAGCATATTTGTATATATTACGTAGAATATTTTAGAGTTGTATTGAATGTATCTTTTATAGAGATACAGTAAAGTCACTCAATAAGTTCTATTGCAATTGAATGTATTATAGGACTTACATTATATAAAATTATTATAAATGTATTGTATTATATTATATGTTATATTGTATTCTCATTAATCGTCGTGCAATTCAAGTTCCGTCGCTCCATCGGCCCATATGTAACAGTGATTTGCCCATAGATCTTCCACTACAGTTTTCAGAGGAACATCAATAAAATGATCTGTCGTTTATAACTTGTAAACAATATGCTAAATTACGAGATGTAATTTTATCGAAGGACCCTTGTACATAGGTTCGAGTCATAGAAGCAATGGCGAAGCATGCGCTTCTGAGCCTATGTTTGAAAATGATGAGTTGCCGATATCTAAGGTTGTGATTGATTAATGCACAAACGTAACACGAATTTTTTTATTGTATTATACTTTGAAACATTTGTATTATACACCTGTAGAAGTAAAATATTAGTAAAAATCGATGGTCTAATTTTCATATGTGATATCAAAAGTAATATTGTCTCAAAATTTGGTTGAAAAAAAAGAAACTGATTAGAATAATATGTAGCAAAAAATTTTTTATTAATTTTTGCAGTATTTTTTATTGTACGAGGTATTAAACTTTGAAACTCGTTCATGTGTGTTTTTAATGAGACATTGAAGAAACAAGTCAGTATTAAATACATTACTAATACTAATATAAGTTTGCGGGAGCATAATTAATAACATTAAGTGTACATATTATCATTCGTAGGTCTAATGAATCTTGACTAATTTCCTAATATATATTGAAGTGAGTAATTTATAAGTGCAAAATCAATATTTATTTATCGATGAATAACAATGATTGTAGTGTATTTCAAATTGCACGATTTATTCATACGTATATACGAATCTGAGAAAGAATATGTAAAAGGTAAAATTAATATATAATAAATAATTAAAGAGAAAAACAAAATAAAGGCCCCGCAAAGCGATCTAAACGATACTCGTGTCATCAATGCACATTGACATTACCGACTGAGATAAGAAAGAGGTTTTCAAATTTTTCTTAAACCAATGAATTAATTACGTTGAAATTTTTTGGGGATATTCATTATGTATACAAAAAGTACGCTCAACTGTTATTTTGATGATAAAATTCCATAGAACAAAAGATAAAAATAAAAATTATTTACAGTAATTCAACTTTTCTGTCCTAATTGCATCTATTTTTATGAAAATAAGAGTTGAGCACACTTTGTTTATACACAACGAATATCTCCGAAAAGTTACAACGTATTTAATTAATTTATTTTAGAGAAAACCTATTGCAAATTTCTTTTTACTCAGTCGTTAATTTTTTAGCCACAGAGCTTTAAAAAATGTCACCGATATCTGCAACATAATTGTAATTGATTGTTATGTTGATATGTAAAAAGAGCGCAAAAATTAAATTTTATTATACTTTACAATTATATATCTAACTAATTAAAAATAAATATTATCTAACAATTTTAATTACTTCTGTATATCTGTACAAAATGTAATTAAAATTAGAGTGTTTGGATAATAAACTAAGATCTGACAAGAAGATAGAAAAAATATTAATATTGCTATAAAATATAATGTATATAAACATTTTAAAAAGTCGATAAAATATGTATATAGCAGTTAAAAATAGAAGAAAGCAAAAGAGGAGATAAATAATGATTATTAGTGTAGGGGCATTAACTTAAGTTTTCTGAGTGGAAAAAAGCTAAATAGATGTGAAATTAGATTGGACCGAAAAGTTTAAATCCATGCATATTGCGGCTTTGCAGAATTGATAAGTTGAAGCTAGTGTCTGAGAAGAAAACTTTGCGATAGATGCATAACTTCCTTCGTTGATGATTACGGTATCGAGAGTAAGCATGCTAGCGTTGTAGAACAACTGATTCTTATTTGATATATTATACTTCGTTATTGTAAAAATAAATTAAATTTAGTTGAACGATCGCTAGTTGAACTCTAGTCAGAATTGATTGGCTCATAATTATCGTCAAAATAAGTTACGTGAAAAATTCAGCCTATATTATTTATCGGCGTGGCAACTGATTCACAACATAGCTTATGAAACTTTTACTGAAATATACTATAAGGATTGATCGAAGAATAAACTGATTATTTAATTGAGTTAAGAAATATATGGTGAATATGTATGGGAGAAGTCTTCGGTATAGCGAAATAATCGATAAGCCGAGTAATTGCATATTTTCTGCGTGGGGATGTTGGAGGCTGCCTTGGATGTGGCGCAGTAAATGGCTCTGAGGTCAGCTGCAATGGAGTTAATACACACAGAGCCAATGAGGTTCCGCTAGTTTCTTCCGACTAGATTGTCTAGTCGTGTGCGTCGTGCCACCGAATGGTCTGCGCTGTATATATATATACCTATTGCGCTCGCGGCTATACCGTTCAGAGCGACGTTAACAAAGGCGCTTCGAGCGGCAAATCTGCCTGATTCGAGCGGCACTGATATCGAGTTCGGTGGCATTAAGTTACAAGTATGTAAATGTCAGTATCAGTCGAGCATTAATCAATGCAGAGATCAGTACCGAGATGCAGCGCGAGCAAATGACAATCTGGTTGCTCGTAAAACATAGCCTTCAGCTACTAGTGCACGTATACGTGCTAGCGCGAAAGCATTTCCTCGAAAATACTCTTACGCTAGATACTCCATGGAAAGTGCAACCGCTCGGTGGATAACCGAACCCCAATACCCTTTCGCACTGCTGCACTTCTTTCCGCCTGTGCTTGTTACCGTCACGCACCCAGGTACACAAACGGATCTTTTCAAGACGGATATGTTATTCTTTCGACTACATGCGTCACGTCTAAGCACATTATAGAGCAATTCTCCAGCTCTGCAGCAGAGGAACTGTGCAGTCGACAGCTCGCAAACATTACTTTAACAAGACGATGGGCATGTCCACGTGTATTGGTTCGTTATCCTGCTTATAGGCATATGTAACGATTGCGGGATTGAATGTTTGAGATGGCGCGGTCAGTGTAGCATTGTGCAGGTGGCATTTGCGAATGCCTGCGTCGCATTGCTAGATCGATCGTGCTGCACCGATTGTATAGGCAAACAGTCAACAAATAGTTAAACATTTGGTGACTTTGGGAACCGAGCGAATGGCCGTTTGGTCTAGCATCAGGCAGAATCGGCACGTTTAACGGGTCGAATAATCCAATTGTCTATAGCATGGAATAATCAACAGACTCTGAACTATGGGCAATGGCGCGGAATCCAATCAGTGTAAAGTGCAAAAACAGACAAGTAACATAATTATAGGAATGAAATAAATAATTCGAGGCGGTGACGCGGCAGAAAAACGATAAAAATCTTCGCTAAATAATAACATTGATAATAGTGAAAGTTATTGATTTATGGCCGTGGCTATTATATCCCAGAAATAGACTCGCGATATCCGCAGTTTTTTCAGGCTTACTTCGAACGATTGACATCGGTTCACTGTTGCAGTGACAATGATGATATACGTCGTTTATCATCATTTGCTTATTGCGGCGAGCGAACGACGTCACAATAAGTTCGAACTGATCGCATACGAGATGCGTATACGTTGGTTAACGCGTTGGCTTGCGTTAAGTGACCTTCATTGCTATTATTATTTTACAATAATCAAACTTTCTTCATATATCTGAAGCCATTACACAGAGTATTGAGCCAATTTCTCGTTGTGTTTTTTTCTATGTAAGGAAAAGTGAAACAAACATACAGATGAAAGTTTCGATTGGTGGCAGTGTTTTTGCACATATTAGCGAAGACTGTATGGCACAGCTGTAATTAGCCAAATTATTGTGAGCTGGCGGTGGACAGTTTGCCAATAAGTTAAGATATAAATAAAACGCTCGGTCAGTAACCTTATTAATGAATTATTGACCGTCAGCAAACATGAACCTATTAAACGGCCGATACGCCCGTTGTACTCTAGGTCGACGATCATTTACTTTCAAATCAATTTTTCAATGATTTAAATATGCATACTCCTTCATTTTTCAAGAGTTACTATTGCGGATCATTACTACGTAGCTGTAGGAAGGAAAATCATCAACTCGATATGGGGATGAATAAGAAGTTTCGTTTTATCAGAAGAACGTAATCGCGAGCAAAACTGCCGATTCAGCAATTTTAGAAGGCCACATTTGATTACCACATCAAAATACTGAAAAAATAGTTTCTCCTCATATACTTCTTAGGATATCAGCAGAGACATTGTAAAAGCAACTTTTGAAAACATGACTTGGCCGACCGGTCCAACTATCCTTTACTTTAAGTTAATTAGATATTCGTAAGTCTACTCCTCGATCTGCTCTTATCTAAGTGGGACCTAGTATCCGTGTAAGGGAGTTGATTTTATTTGCATTTCTGACTTAGTGTTTCATTTAAAAACTGTCGGTAAGCAATGTTCGATATTCATTAATTGGGAACAATATATTCACTCGTTAAAAACAAGAGGAACGAGTGCAGGCGAAAAATTGCCATATTATATATTTCATCAGACATATTGCTTTATTGATACGTCCATTCGGACGTAATAATCCGTTGGATATTTTATTTCTTTCCGCGTACGAACCAATCGAAAATACAGCGAACTGCAGTCTCTTCGATATTTACGATCTGAGCAATGATCTTCGAAATAAAACGACAAATACGGTTAAATGAATTGTTAAACAATACGCACTCAGTATTACATAAGCCACGTGCATAGAATGTCTACTATAATATAGATTTCATCTACGACGTAGTGAAGGTGACGCGTAAAGTGAAAATGCTTTATAAAGTCAGATCGGCAGTGGTAGCTTCGTTAGTATCAATTGAGCAGGTGCTGAGTCGATCGAGTGCAGTAATCAGCAACAAAGATGTCAGGTTATCTCAATTTCAGCGTCGTTGTAATTGTGTTGATTACCATAGCCAGCGTATCGGCCGACGTTCGTAAGTATGAACAAAGGTATATACGTGTAACAATTAAAGAGATGAGCCCGCGTCGAATATCTTAATATTTGACAAGTTTTTTCGTCATGGTGAAACATTTGTCCTGATAAACTCTCCTCCTTGTATATATAACATCTTGCTTTTTATGGTTTAGCTTTAACGCCCAGCTCACTTCCTTCGACGGAATCTGTATTCGAGATTGAATGGAGTGTTTTTTCGATGTCTTGAAAGCACTTTCTTCAAAATGTTAAAGCGTGCTTTTCCATTAAAATCTAAAGAAAGTGGATTGAAAGCACGAAAAAGAAATATTTTGAAAGAAACGGCTATCAGTCTGGAAGATAGGCCGCAAGGAAGCGAGTGAGCTGGGCCAAAATGGAATTACAGCGTCGTACATCGAGGTGTGCGGGCGCCGGAACCCGAAGCTGAACGAGTGCGTGGAGGAGAGCGTGCGCAAACTCAGGCCAAAGCTGCGAGCGGGCATACCGGAGTTGGAGGTGCCATCCATAGAGCCCCTCAACGTCAGTAAGATCGTGCTGTCCGATCGGAAGGATTTCCGGGCGGTCGCCACTCAAGTCAGTCTCAGCGGTCTCTCCGAGTTCCGCATCCAGAGCACGAACCTCGATCTGGAGCAGCATCGGATCGACTTCCAAGTGCTCTTCGAGCGCGTCTCCATGAAGGCCAACTACGACGTCAAGGCCAAGATTGTCGTGCCCATCGCCGAGCGCGGCCCCCTCGACGTCGTCACCGGTACGCCGCGGCTTCTTTGCCTTTGTCTACGCCGCGCACTGCACTCGCACTCGATTGCCCGATTTGCCCGATGACTCACCGATTATCCCCGTCTCCCCGAGCCTTTAATCCATTCCCGGGGGAACACGCCGCACTCGTTATATTTTTCGATGAAGCGCCAATCGATGATCATTAAGTCTAATCGTCAGAGTCGGTCGAGTTCCTATTTTGTGAATATTAAGTCAACGCTGCACTCTCACTGCTCGAGAGTTTTGCAATGAAACTTTATATTTATTAAGATTGTTATATATTTGGAACGTGCAAGAGGTTAATAAGTTTTATCAAATGCCGATATATTATGAAATTGGTACTTTTCGTAAAAGTCATTTTAAGCCTGATCGGACAAATCGACTTGCCAACGCTAAGTTGTCTCTTGCTGTATGTCGTTATTAAACATACCTCTGTTGAGTACACTCACAAAACTCTGACATAAGCTAAAGTTGAAAGTTGAATAACGGACGCCACTGATGTAACGAACGATCAACGCAATGAATATTTGCAGGCAAGATCGAGGCCAAAGTGATGCTGAGGTTCAAGATTGTGGAGCGCGGGACTCGGCGCTTCATGTACTTCCCGAGCATGACGACTTCGCTCGACATCGCAGATTACACGGTGATCTCGGTGGAAAACGCCAAGGACAAGCCATTCTCCCAGGCGGTGAACTCGGTGTTGACCAGCAGCCGCCGCGACATCATCGGCCAGCTGACGCCCTACCTGGAGAAATCCATTTCCACCACGGTGCTCGAGGTGGCAAACAGGATCTGCAAGCACTTTACTTTCGACGAATTGTTTCCCGATCGACCTTGAACCAAGTGGCTGCAGTTGTCACTATATCGTAATGATTAATAAAGTGCAGCTCGTTGCCGCAGCATTGATATTGCACGTAAGGACAGTAAAAAACCAGCTTGACCAAAGTGTGTGCGGTAAAGTATACAAGGACGACAACTATATAATCAGCTGATTGCGCTAAACTACATCTTTTTGCGACAGATCGTTGGCAGGCGCACGCACTCAAACGATGCGATCTGCTCATTTGAATGTTCACTTGATTGTAATTAGCACTCTTCCGCGTTCAACTTGTTTCAATATAACATCTCTGTTTGTTGGGCTTCACGCTACCTCTAACAGACTATCTCTTTACCGAGTTTATAACTGTTTGATTGAAAAGGCTTGTTTTGGCATCGAGTGTACGAATAATCATTACACACCGTGGAAATGAATACATTATAAGAATCATAATGTTTAATTTATAATTACAAGATACAAGTCACGAAAATTCTCGATTCCCTGCTTTATTTGTGAATTACAAGGAATACATTTATTTTCAGTAAACTCATTGATTTATACACCACACCTCAATTATTATAGGTACGAACTTTATCACTCATCAGCTTTGAAGCGGTCATTTCAATTAAAAAGAAAAAAAACGCTGCTACCTCAACAATACAGTGAATATTATTTCAGTTAAAGCTGTGCTCTATCGATGGAAGTAATATGGAAAGAAAACAAATTTTGACGTTTCGTTCACAGATTCGTTAATATCTTCGGGAACTTTATTGTGAAAGAAACTGCTGAAAATTAATGACTAAATTATGTATACAGGATTACTCGTCTACGTCAAACGGTTGTCGATTTGACGGATAATGCTCAACGGTGCGTATTGATTTTAATAATAAATGTAGACCAATCATATTTAATGCATATACTCGTATATATTAGCTTACTGGTTTGGAAATCATTGGAAATAATACTGCATCTATTGAAAATAAGTGTTATTATGCTTTATTTGAAGTTTATTACTTATCAGTTGAGGATGTCAGATTAATAATGAGCATTATGGTTGTGGTTTTAATTCAATGAGCGAACTCATCGAATATCAAATAGTGACATGCAAGGTACTCGTACAACTTTAGTCTAATCCACAATTCAAATGAGAAGTTTGTTAAATTAAAAACAATGCCAGGTAAATTGACACGCGAAATTATTCCACTTTAACCGTTGCGCCTTCATTGCCAAATATAGGACATTGCCTTGTTAGCAGACATCGATACGTTGTTGTTGAGTTGCTATCAATAAGATCAGACAAAAAGCGTATAGCTTCTGAAGCATGTTTCAACATCGAGAAGGACTTATTTTTTTCATACTTGCAATGGTTTGGCAGACAGACAGTATCGCCCTGCGACAAGAGTAGTTAAGTATATATTGGAGCGCCGAAGAACATTAGAAAAGTGAAGATCGGGACATTGACAAGCTAACAGTTTGTTGACCTCGACATAAGATATAATATGTGACCTTATTATTGGATTATTAAAGCAACGCGAAGTAAAGGACCCGTGTCATGCTAATGCCGTTATCGGTATCATCATCGCCGCCATCATTACTGTAGAGTAGATGATACTTGAACTGTGGCAGGGGTTTGCTACATCACGGTATCTCTCACCTTTACCCGTGCTCAGAGATTTGTTCTGCGTTTCCCGAGAAAAGTAGCAGCCTCAACAACATTCTAAGCACAGCATCATTAGAAATGTAGAATACGATATCTTTGATCGCTTGTGATTCTTCACACTACAAAAGCAGCTCTTACATAAATATGCATTTTACCTTTATAATACCCTAATAAAAAAAGTGATAGATGCCACGTTGAAGCATTTTATTCGTGAACTAATAACTGGCTGATATATGGCCAGGTGATATACTGTTATGTGGCGGCAAATAAGCGTATATATATGGCTTTCAGTTGAGATTTTAGTAGTAAACGTTCAATTAATCATAATTGATACGGATTATTTTGAAGAAAATGAATGTAGAAAAAACTGCAATGTTATTGTTATAACACTTATTTTATGAAATTATCAGATGTTGGAAATAATGATTTTGATTTGAGAGAAACAATTAATGTAAACGTAGATTTTATTTAGGAGTTGCAATAAAGGCGTAACGATTATCATAAATGCATAAAAAGGATTGCCGAAAAAGAACATAGTTAAATCTATAAAATAAACGAACAGAACACAATCCAGGGGATAAATTTCGAATACTAAGATGAAGATCAATTAAAACGTTTTATTTCTAACAGTAGTGAGAAAATCGTTTCGTAAAAACAAGAGACCGTGCTTTGGAATTGTTCTGATTATTTTCTACTACTAATCTACGATCTGATTTGCGTGTGCTAGATTGGAATAAAGTTGTGATGTCGCAATCTTTATTCGAAGAGTAGGACAAACGTTTAGTAATAGAAACCCCTGTATAGTTAAAAAGAAAGATTATTTATAGTAGTTTTCGATATTCGAAACTATTTTATTAATACACTTTTTTCCGTTGTGATTAAAAAAATTAAACATTACACCTTAGAAAAAAGTAATTTATGTTAAGTATGTTAATCAATATGATAAGGAATGAAAAAGAAGGTGAGAACGCGCTAAGCACGTCTGACGTCATTGATTTCTTAAGATAATTATGCAGAAAATTTAAGCAGCGTCATTGGTCTTAAAATAAATAGCTGCAAAAATATTCTTAAAATGAGAAGGCATTAACACTCTGGTATCGGGCAAGTCCAAACTCACGCTACATCTACATATTCTGCCACGTAAGAGGTGCCACTGTAAGTAATGCATCTAAAACCAAAATTATTGTGACAGCGCTATTTGCCAAAACCAAATGTAGTTACGCTATTTTGTGCCGCTACTACTTGCGTGAAGTAGTTACGCTGTTGAGAACGAATAAAATCTAGTTTTCCAAGATACGTCCTATTGAAGTCACAAAATGAAAATCGGCGACAACAAGAAACATGCTTTTGGCAGCAAACAGTTTTTTCTTTATAAACCTATGTACCGTAGAAAAGTCGTGTAACGCACTGCGCGTGCAACTACAATTTTTTTAGAAGTGTGCCGCTACCGCTGTGCAACTATAATGTTACAAATGAACGTGGTGGCGATACTGTTGTGACATAGAAATATACAAATTCACTTACATTTTCATTGATGTAAAATATATTAGTCTCAGCTATTTATACAGTAATTTTTGGTGTTTCGTACTCGTATCACAACTTTTTTTGTTGCAGTTGAACAATGAACTCTTTCAGCTGTCGCCGACTGACTTTGATTTATCCGTCACCTGACCAGCATTGAACTGGCCATTCGTAAATCCGGCAGGAAAATAATTGTCTTGTTGCGAGCGACATGAGCGGTAAATTGAAGAAGTTGTTTGGCAGTGAAAGTCGTGTAAGCTTAAATTCAGCGTCGGCAAATGTGAAATGTTGAGGAGGTAACAATACCACAGCATACTCGACGCACAGCCGGAAGGGCGGGTAGCGTTTGCGCGGCGTGTATTAGGTTAAGGAAACAATGAGGAAAGAAAAAAGGAAAGTACGGGAAGAAAGCGCAGAGAAATAAATGGGGGAGAGAGAGACGCGAAGAGGAAAGGCGGAGGCGGTCGGGGCCGGGGACGGGGCGAGCTTGCGCACGGGGCTTGCGCGAAGGCGCCCCGCCGTAGAGCCGAGCCGCAAGCTCGGCCGCGGCTCGCTCAGTTGGCTCTGGGTGCGCGCTCGGTGAGCTGCTCGGGCCGCAAGCTGCGACGCGCGCGCGAAGCCGGCCAAAGCTCTGCAGCGCTCCGTGTCGCGCCACAGTCCCGTCCGCGTGCGAGCCGCCCATGGCCGCCCGCCAGTCGGCCAGCCGTTGCCGCTGAGCAGCGCGGCCGTCGCCCGAGCCCGAGCGAGCCGTCCGACGAGCTGTCGCCCAGGTAACTAGCACCGCTCCGCCGTCCTCGCTGCACCTCCCGATCGGCTCGATCTCGATCGCCGCGCCGCTCGCTGCCCGACCAGCTGACCACGCCACGCGACCCGCCCGTCGCAGCGTTCCAGTTCTGTGCGCTCGAGCGAGCGCTTTCACAGAGCTTCGACGCCGCTTTGGTCAGCTTCTAGCGAACGATCGCAATCGCGAGCAAGCCTCGTCTTCGCCAGTAGCGTAGAGCGTCGAGTAGAGCGAAGACCGCCGGCAGCCAATGGTTTTTGCTGGCGAACTCGACGTCCGCGAAAAATGGAATGTCTGGGCCGATGCCAGTTCAAGCTGTTTCCAGAACGTATACTGGTCGAAGACGATGGCACGTCACCCTTCTCAGTGCTTGCCAACAAGAGACGCGGAACGATATTTTTGCGAGCATACTAGTGCTTTTCCGACTCACTAGTTTATGGACCAGCAAAAGGCATTTACGCCCTCCTCCGCGAGTCGTATTATCAAGTCTCGTCTTTTCATCTCGCTCGCTTTGATGACTCTCCGACTCGCTCATCTGATCTTCGTTAACACTAGACGTATACTATTAAATATTTTCCTCGAATATTTTCTCCAGCTCTATCTCATTCTCACTTTTCAATTCACAATTTTCATGCTGTCATTCGGCGAATTCCACTCGAAATTCGAACGGACGAGTACTCGCGATGTTTCAAGATTGCATAGGCTTTGTGTTTCTAGATTTGCACATCTTCAAGCAACATCCGTGAAAAGCACTTCAAATCATTCAGCGCGCAATCGTTAAAGAGATGCTGCGCAGTTCAGCTTGACCTGCTAAACAAGCCTTATATTGATGAACTATTCCATTTGCACTGGCAACTTTTACTACTTACCCATATCCTTCGTATAGACTTGTAGGGTAACAATGAAAAATAATGAAACTGTTCAAGTATTTCATTGATTTGAAATTATGCTTGAAATACGTACATTTTCCAATTCTTTTACAAAGTTACATGGCAGTTTTAATAATCTTTAACTTAACCGTATTTTCTTGTCAATATTTTCATTTCTATATGGTAAGGTATGCTTTTTCATGTTGTTTCGCGTTTTATTTTTATCGAAATCACATTTTCAGCAGAATATAATAAAGAATGGAATAAAACGCGCAATGCTTCAAAATCACAAATTAAGTTATCCGTTAATATATCGATTATTCGTAATGTCGTGATTATTATGACCTTCATAAATGTCTATAAATGTTTACACAACATTTTGAAAAAACTAAAATTGTTTGTAACCGGTAACAAAAACATAGACATGTATCATCTTTGAATCGAAAGTATTTTTGCCCTGGTACACTGGATATGATAACAAGTAAAGTACTTGCCTGTTTTTAGAATCGATAAATGATGCAACTTACTTTATTTGTTTATACTCAATTTACAATTAACACAATCTAAAAGTATATTCAGTCAGCTTTTGCCGTTGACCGTACGAAAGTTATTTGACCCGGAGTTACATAGTGCGCCACTACGCCATCGTTCTTCTTAAATCTCGTTTCTTCGTTTTCTATTTGCGGTTTCGTGTGTGAGTCTATTTGTTACGCGCGTTCTCTTACGTTTTTCCGGGTTGCTTGTGTAGTTGTCTATAGCTGTCTATTTCTTCCGCCTTGAATTACTAGGTACTGCAGATTCACAAGCCATTGCGTGCAATAAATTCTTTTTTTCTAATTAAAATCCAGCTATACAGTTAAGTGACATTCAATAAACGTGAAAAGTAACATCGTGCTAACATGTACTTCATAGCTTGCACGATATTATTCCTAAGAGAAAGAGAATTTTGAAGACAAAGCACTTTGACGTCCACATGAAAGATTGATATACGAGTATAACTAGCTGCATTCATTTGCACAGAATTTTACCGTTCCGTCCTGCGCGTCTGTCTTTTTGGCTGGAACTTTTGTTCGTGCCAGATTCTTTTCCTATTTTCACAAGGCTATTTAATTGTTCCTTTGTATTCTTCCTTTTCGACCGTTTTTATTCATTAAAGTGACATTCTAACATGCTTTTCTCGTTAAAAAAGCAACTTTGTTTGTTGAACGTTTGAAAAGCTTTACATCCTTCTTTGGGAGTTTAATTTGCAAAGTTTGCTCTTTTGCCTGGAAAGAAAGAAAATCATCACGGCAGTAGTTGCCTGCAGCTCGGTCACCAGTAGCGCTATTTGCCCAAGTCAGATGCTTGACCAATCGGCTGCTGCCTTTCGATCGCGTAAACTTGTTCATAAGCTTTAGTTGTTTGAGTTGCAAAAAAATTAGTGGCTAATGGCCGACGAATGGTCGACGTGATCTTGTCACACGTGGAAGGGCTTACTTTCCTAAATCGAAATAGGTGAGAGTTGTACACAGAGATGTGTGTACGCGCGTGTGTGTGTTGCTGTTTAAAATGAATAATTCAACCGAATATTAGTGCGCGGCGGGTCGGAAATTGATCATTTAAAAAATAGCCACGTGAGAGTGAAAAAAGATGGGGCGGCGCAGCGCTTCTCTGTTCCCATTGAGGCGGGGATTTGAGAAGTGGCGCGAGTCAATATTCGGTCGGGCATGCCTTGGACTAACTAGACGTAGGTGCCGGCTGCCACGGCAGAGTGGCGTTACGAAGGCGTAATTGCCGCGGAGTAATTAAATGGGCATGGAAGAAGGGGGCTCAGGATGAGGAATGCAAGGGCTGGATTAGGCAGAAGCGTTTGCGAGTGAAAAGAATGGTTAATATTTGACGGCAAGGATTGCGTGTTCAGGTGACGCAGCACTCTGCAAAAATTGGAAAGAGAGCGAGGCTTGAAGAAAGAAAGGCAACTAATGTGGGCCAGGCAGGAGAAGCGAGGGGCGAGGAAGAAGAAGCGGCCGAGACGGGGCTCGGCCGGAGGTGTGTAATAAAAAGCAACAATCCGTCAGCGCGGAGAGGCTTCCGCAGTGCAGCTGCAGAGCGTTCGTTAAGAATTGAGAGAGAGAGAGAGAGAGAGAGAAAGCGAAAACCAAGGCGAGCTGCTGCACTATTCAGCGGTTCAGCGGAGACGCGCCTGCGCCCGTCTACGGAGCTGCCTCCTTTGTCCGTCGCTGCTTTCGCGCGTCGCTAATGGCTGCGCGCCTCGCCCCGGCCCATCGGTCCCGGGAGCACCGGCGCCACAGGTGCGCGCCCCCGGCGCCGCGAGCCTCGACGCGACGAGGCCAGGGGACGACGGCATCCCGACAACCGCTGGCGTGACACACTTCGCTGGAGCCCGACCAGCCTCGGCGATCGATCCTCGCCCTCTGCTATCGCGACACACTCGATCTATCTGCTGGCCGCGATCGGCCCTAACCTACTCGGCTGCGGGCTTTCCTTTGCTTTTCTTGTCGGGCCACTTGCTCGCGCCCCGCGCAGCCGCTATCGCATCGTCGCAACTGGCGACGGAGGTCGACGCCGTGCTCGAGGCCGAAGCTCCAAGCTCTCAGGACTAGGCCGTTCGCTCCCCTACTTTTGCCAGCCGTTTTCGCCACTCGACGTCGGCGTTTCGCGATTCTCGTACTCGTTGGGTCCACGCCGAGTCGAACTGCCAATTAATTTCCTTTGCGACTCGTTTTCTCGGCACCACTCGCGGGCTCGGCTCTCATCAATCAGCCATCAAACTTTCTTCGATCCCGCCGTCGTCTTTTCACGCTCGAGCTCCAGCCTCAGTCCTAAAAATACCCGAGCACGTTATGCTAAAAATCGATCAAACTGCCTGATGTGAAATTGCGTGTCGCCGCGCGTCCAACTTTCGGAACGAACGCGTCTCCCGTGCCACACGCTGCCTCGATTAATTTTATCTTACTGGAGCGCACTCGCTTGCCCCTTGCGAAGAGTTCCTCTTCGTTTTTATCGCGATGGCCATTGTTACGCCGTATAAATCAATCACACCTACGCATCGACGAAATAGTCCGCGCACCCGTGCGTTCTACGCTTCAACTGTCGTGCGTTCGTGTTACGAACGCAATTGCTCGGTGGTGCGCGAGGAAGAAACGCGCGAATGCCGAACGAGCATCACAGCTTTCGCATTGCCGCGCACCTTTCCGTCGCATCGTTCCGGCCGATGTGTTTGCTTTGCTTAGCTGCGCGATGCGAGCAGCGGCTGCAGACTAACCCTCGTGAGGAAGCTCGCGGACCCGACGCGCTCTGCCGAATACCCATCCCTCGCGGCTCGAGTTTCATAAACTTTACGCGTAAAATTTATGTGCATCAACTGCGCAGCTGAGCTATCGCGCGCTTACTCTGCTCGAGCTTATTTACGCGGCGCTCATCGGTTAGTTCCGACCGAATATCCTCGAATTCTCGTTTCCAGAACGCTTGTCGGCTGATCACAGCGCGCGTTCACACCTTTGCACGAATGACCAATTGAATAAAAATGGCGTTGGTCGAACTGCGAGTTACCAAATTTGCATCTAACTCCTCCTTGTTTACCGGTGTACTCGTTCTCGACCTCCCTCGAGCAGGAGAGAATCGCGGCAGGCGCGAAGGGAAAGTCGATCGAAAGAGCGAAGCGCACGCGGGGCCAAGCCGCGGCGACTTTCGAGCTGCGATGCGGCTCGCCGCGCAGCACCTTCGCGCCCACCAACCTCTCGTCGGGATTTCGCGCCCGGAAAATTCAATCTCACGGCAGTCTCTTGCCGCTTGTTCCTCTCCTCCGCTCTGTCTCGATCATTATGCACGCCGCGACCTACTTTTCACTTTCGGATCAGCCGCCATCGACTGGAGAGTGGCATCTTTACTTTTCGCATGCGCGATGAATGTCGGGAAAGAACGACGACCGAGTCGTTCTTCTCTTTGCCGAATAATTGGCGAGTGCGGCTACGCGGGAGCAGCGATAAGAATCGGAGAGTTGGAGGCATCGAACGACGCTATCGCAGCTGGCTTCGGACACGAGGCAGATCGAACGGAACGGACTCCGCGCTCCGCCGTTTAGCGTCCAAGGGGATTTCTCGAGATAAACGGCGTTGGC